CTGGAAGGGACTTGTCTCATTAACCTTGTTTGACAGCTTGCATGGTGGCCAGGCTTGTACCCTTTCACACCTCAGCCACCGTTGGTTGCTGTTGGTCAGTTGATTGCAGCAAATCCATAAAAATAGCCCATTAAGATTGGTTTGATGAAGGTAGAATTTCTCCCAACAAAGCATAAGGATGGAGTATGCAGTCATGTAAGGAGAAATTGTAAAGAATGTTAGAGGCGTTTCAAGGGTTGATGGGATGGGGTTTGCAATATTCTTCAGTTATTGTCAAGACTCACCGAAATCAGGGGGTACTCGAAACAGTTACACAGCAGCTATGAAATTTTGTGCAGTGGTCTTTTTGGTTTATCTAGCCATTGGTGCCGATGCAAGTGAGAGAAAGAAAAATTGTAAACAAATTTTGGACAAGTTTTCAGATCTTTAGTACTTGATAAAAAAGAAACAAAACAGTTGTAGAGTGGGTAAGGTTTAGAAGATCGTTTCTGTTGTTTACATTTATTTTTCATCATCGCTTTCAGGTTGTCTGAAGGTTTGGAATTTCAGTTGGATAAAAATTGATCGTTAAAATGATGGTTTGGAATATCCGCATTTATCTACTAATGACTGATTGCTTAAGCTTATCTTTAAGTTGGTCTCTCCTCATCAGTACTGTGGCCTATTGGGGCAAAATACAACTCAATTTCTCTTCTGAAACACAGTGATGTTTTCCAGAATACAACGAAATCTTCTGAAACACAATAGTGTTTTCCAGAACACAACGAAATCTTCTGAAACACAACAATCTTTTCCAGAACACAAGGGAATTTTCTGATACACAAAAGCAAGCTAAAACACACCAAAATACTGGGCCGGGTTGTTCAAAGCGTGGTTAAGATAACCCAGGATTAGTGTGAAATTTGATATCAGATCTGAAAGCTTAAAAAAAGATCTAGCATAATTTGTTTGTCTACAATGTTATGACTGCATGCTCTAAAGAGAATCCAGAAAATCATCCCAAACTGGCTTTTGAACAAAGGAATTGAAGAAACCGTGAATAAAATTTAATCTTAGGTTAGCGCTAATCAGCTGTCGAGCAACTGGGCCCTGGTAACTAAACCTGTCGCTGAAAGCGACCAGAACCTGGAACTAGCTCTGGCTAAGGCGGCAACGAGTTTTGAACCGCTCGTGAAGTGGATTTGAATTAAATTGACTTCTTCAAGTTCAGTAAGCGATCATCCAGAAGAAGAAAGCATAATCTCGTATCAGTTTTCAAGAGGATATCACTGAATTTTTAGTTAAGTGTCATGGCATTACGATGTGTGTACGGATCTGATTGACAAAATACCAGTTGTAGGTTGAAGCATTTGACTTGCGTTGTTCAGGAACAAATTATGAATGAGCTAAGAGGCCCAGGCTACCAAAGTGGATATAGAAGTATGTGGCATACCCTACGACTTAAAAATATTCAAGTTCCTAGACATGTAGTAGCTGAACTTATGAGGGAAATGGACCCAGAAGGATGTGAGCAGAGGAAGGCAAAAATCCTCGAAAGAGGAAGTTACTTCTTGTCTGGTCTAAACTACACATGGCACGTCGACGGATACGACAAATCAAAGCCTTATGGATTTCCATTTCATGTGTGTACTGATGGATGGAGTTGAAAATAATGTGGCTAACAGTCACAAGGTCAAACAACGATCCAGAAATTATTGCCAATGTCTATTTGAACTGTGTTGCAGGGCTAGAAAGCTGTCCAGTGAAACTGAGGACTGACTGTGGAACAGAAAATAGCGTAATGGCAGCTGTGCAATGTACATATCAACAAGATGCAAAAGTGCACAAGTATGGGTAATCTCTGGTGAACCAAAGGATTGAGAGCTGGTGGGTATTTTATAGATTGAAGAAACAGTTGTTTTAAAGCATGTAGGAAGTGGCTTGAGCACGAAATAAGCGCTTGAGTGCTCAAGCTGCTTCTTAACCTTGAACTCCCAAGATCTCACTATTAATTCTCCTTAGTGTCTGTTATTCAGTTCTTGTGATGTTAGTTTTGAGAATTTGTAATTGCATCAACTTGTAATCCACTAATTGATATTTTTGTATATTCTCGTCACATGTCTGCTTGATATTGTTTTGATATTGTAAGGAGAAATTCTGTCTTGGTCACTCATGGGAGTTAAAGGGTTAAGTGCTTTACAACAGAACAGAGCACAGTCAAGGCTTCTCTATTTGTTTTATAGTAAAGAATCCATTAAATTCTCCATGCATTGCTTTCAATTTTCAAAAAAACTTAAGGTGATAAATTATGATTGGTCCCTAATAGGGGCATTGTTTTTTTAGTTTTTGGTACTAAATTTATCTTCCCTCTAATTTTGCCCACTCCTGTTTGTTTCACAGTGCCTCTTTTGAGTCAGTTTTTGTTTTGTTTTTGAGGAGATCACATTAATCCATTCTAGATATAATGCAGTGGTTAAAATGCTTTCCCAGTGTTAATACAGTAAAGATATTGCAGCACTTTGTATGGCACTTTTTATAAATAAGGATGTCCTCTGAGATTTTCTTAAGTTCATGGCTTAGCCTTTTGTGACTTTGAGAGGAGTGACTCTTAAATGTAGCATGCATTTCAATTGAGTATATAAAGTAATCATAAAAGACAATGGTAATGAGCAACTAATAACTCCAAATTAAAACAAAAATGAAAACAAAACATGTCAAATAGAATGAAGCAATCAAGAGCTTCTTCAGTTGGTGATTATTTCCTTTATTCTTGTGACCTTCCTGCTTGATTCAGGGTTAATATTGTAGAGAGAAATTACATGCTAGGGCATGAAATTAATTTTTTTTTCTGATAGCCACTTGGCTCCTAAATTCATCAAAGTGGTTGCCAATTCAAAAAAAGTTGGTCGCCATTTTGAAAGACAAACAAAACCTTTTTTTACGCTGTCATCGTTCTAGAAATTAAGTTAGGGAAAAGATCTTTAATGTGCTACAAAGGGGACACTAGGATGGATGATATGCAATCTTTAAGCTCACCTAAATCCAAGATGGCGTCTAGTTATTGATCGAGATGCATCTGCTGCGTTTTGGAAACAAACTTAACGAGGAAGTTTGCCGCAGATTTGTCTTTGCAAATCTTTTTAATTCACTATATCTCTAGGTAAGGTTATGATGAAACATTCTAGTCGCCAATTTGGTGACTAATTTTCAGGATTTGGTCGCCAAAGTGAAAAATTTAGTCGCATTGGTGCCTGTATTAGGCGCAATTTCACACCCTGCATGCTAGTCAGCTCTTAGTGGTTAAAGGATGAAGTCATGATTGGGTTAAGTATAGCATCTGACCAGGTGAGAGATTGTTGTGTGTTAGCTGAACCACTCATAGAGCAAAGTGAAGCAATACCAATGCAAAAGATACTTAGTTGAAAATTTCGTTATCTCACAGGACACCTTCAGTTAGGATTCAAAAGTGTGGTCTTCCAGGTCTTCAGTCTCTCCCTAAAATGGAGTCACAGGATTGGATTTCTTGGAGGCCATGTTACTAACCTACTGAAGCACTTCCTTCACCAAGATCTGCTTTGGCATGAAGCTCAATGGGTTAACCAGGTCCTTGGGAGTGGATCAGGAAGCAGACTCACTATGTGCCCTCATTGCTGGGGACAGGTTCAGCAGGGTGCAAATGGGTATCATTGGCAATGGACAAGATGGTTGCAGTTCTCCTGATTCCAGATGCATAAGGAAAAAGCTTTGTGGAGGGCAGACAATGGAGACAAAAATATCAATGAAGGTGTTTGGATACTGAACTGCTCTGCTCAAGGACAAAGCTGCCTGCAACATGGAGTAATGATCATGCTCTAATTTCAGTAAAGGGATTTTAACCCTTTAACTCCCAGGATCCAATTGTCAATTCTCCCCTCTAGCTGCTACACGTTTGTCGTTAAGTTAGTTATGAGGATTTGATGGTAGATCAAAATGACCTCTACCTGATAAAATTGGGTATTGTCATTACCTGTTTACTGGATAATGACTGAATATTATAGGGAGAAGTTACTTGTTAATCATTTGTGGGAGTTATAGGGTTAAATATGGGTTTTTGCTGTTAAATGATGGGAAAATAAAAGTGGGTCACTGAATTAAAACAGGTTTCTCTCTGTATTGTAGTTACACAAAGGAAAATCTGTCTCTCTTGGGAGATTTATCACTTTTACTCTCACAAGTGGCCATTAAGTTACTTCTCCTTTAACCCTTTAACTTCCAGAAGTGATTAACATGTAACTTCTCCCTATAATATTTATAAATTGTCTGACAAATGGGTAATGAGAATACTCAAACTTATCTGATAGAAGTTGTTATCTTGATCTAGCATCAAACCCTCATAACTAACTTACAAAGAAATGTGCAGCTCGAGTGGAGAATTGACGATTAGAACTTGAGAATTAACAGGTTAACATTTTATCCACAGACTGTCTGGTAGTTGACAATTTTGAATTAAATCAAATTTTTAAGTGAGGGCCAGACACAAACACTTAAATTACAGGAAATAATTGGCAGACCATGACAATAAGTGACCAGTTCTATTGCCAAGAGAGGCAGCTGAGATGATTTTTTGGGGATCACATGGTTTTCAGGTGAACGGTGAGGAGATTTCTCATTCACAAACAGACTACAGAGGCACTGTTAAAAATTGAGTGTTTTTTCTTTTGTATTTTTCCCATTCACCCCCATTCCCTTCTTTAGAACCTCACCACACAAGCCACATTTACCTGATAGGGGTCAATCATTGAAATTCAAGGTTCGAATGTAGAAAAATGCATGTAGCCTGATAAAATAAGCCTGTAACCTGATATTCCATTTGTATAAACTTGGTTGTTGTGCAGTGGTAACCTGATATGTCATTTGTATAAGCTTGGTTGTCATGCAGCTGTAGCCTGATATTTCATTTGAATAAGCTTAGTTGTCCTTAGTTGAGATGACTTGATACGCATTATTGTGAGTACAATTTAAGACCAAATTTTGTCAAGGATGAAAACACACCTCCAAGGGCTTCTTTATTTCAACAGTTACAAACATTACTTAAGACATCATTTTCATAAAAAGTTCTCAATCTAATCCAATGCAGCAGCTCCTGAGATGATCTCAATCAATTCTCTTGTAATCACAGCTTGGCGAGTTCGATTGTATGTCAAAGTCAATTTGTCAATCATTTCACCTTTAAGAGAGATGGAGAAAGTTAGTAAACCTTGACAAGGATGAAATTCTTTTGTACTTCTTTTGGGGCTGAAATACTCATTCTCTGACCAACACACCTGAACAACAGTTATGAATATTGGAAGATAAAATGATCACTGAATGAGCATAGTATAGCAAACACTTCAAGAGATGTAAGGAATTTTTACAAAAAACCGTCACTCAGTTGCAATTTTACCATCCAGTATCTTGGATGGCTAGGATTACAAATCATTTGGAAAAAGCTACGTTTGATTGATAACATGTTATCCAGCTCTTTTGAGAAATTTGCAATTGAGTGTTTGAAAATTTACTCACCCGCATTTTTACTAGCACTGTCCATTGCAGTCATTCGAGAGCTCTGCTCGCTGCAGGCTCCCTCCTTCATGCCATAAAACAAAAGACTAGCCAAGGAGAACTCAGAGTAGTTCTTTATCGCATCAGAATCCAAGTCATCATAGGTACTCAGAGTGTCTGAGAATCCAAAATCCACAAGAAAAGTTAAATTTTAACCCTTTACACCCTAACATCAGTAGCCATATTCTCCTTACTGTTCTCCATACATTTTTTATGGTGCTGTTAAGGAGAAATTGTTAAACAATCAAGAGCTTCTTTAGCTAGTGATCATTTCCTTTGTTCTCCTGACCTCAAGTGATTCAGGGGTAAAAATGGAAGGAGAAATTAGACACTAGTCACTCCTACGGGTCAAAGAGTTACTTGCCCTAGAGATACAAGTAAAGCTACCAAAATGTAAAACTGAGAAGAATGACAGTTGTTTGAGAAAATTCTTCACATGATAAACAAATAACTACCACAATTTTCCTCACAGCTACAGTGCACATTTCTATTGAATAAACTGCACAAAAAGAAGCTTAGGAAAATTTCGGGCTTGGACAAGGGTCACACCTGTGCCTGCCATATATTGGTTGGGTGCTAATGCTGATTGAATGACAAAGCCAGTTGTTGGAAGTAGGGAAAATTTCATTCAACAGATTATAGAGCAAAGCATGTTCTTCACTTTTAGCCCATGCTATCTCAAAAAATAAAGAGATAAAAGAAATTATGGCCACAGTCTCATAATCTGCTTGCTTTGGTCTCTTGTACTCGCCCTTCCATTCCCCAAGATCTCATCATAAATTCTCCTCACTGTCTGCCATACAGTTCTAATAATGTTAGTTTAGAGAATTTGGTATTGGATCAACTAGCAGTGGCCTTGTTGATATTTTTCTTTATTCTCATCACTTATCTGCATGATATTGTGTGGATATTGTAAGGAGAAATTCTGTCTTAGTCATCCACAGGAGGTATAGTGTTAAGGTAGGTCACACTTTGATCAATCAGAATGCATGAATTAATTTTTTATAATCACTCAAACAATTGAAATAAATGCTTATACTTGATGATGATTAAACAAATTCATTTATTTTTCCTCACCTCCTGAGACAGAATTCAAAGTATCAAATGAATGAAGTGGTTTTGTCTGAGTCTTGTATGAAACCACTGACCTGATGAAAAAAAACCCACTTTGTTTGTCTTTCACTCACAAATACTGAAGTGAAAAATTTCTCATATTTCTCTTGTACCATTAAGAATACACATGCAGGGCTAAAGCTAAGAGATAAGGCTACCAGCTGAAATTCAAAGTTAGGCTGCTCAAAGATGGTGCCTCACAGAAGGTGCTTTGCGTGTCTGTGACATGATCACCAGCTGGAAAATCCAGCTGGTAATCACCACATTTTCATGCAGTAAATTTTTTTGGCACTACACAACAACCCTGAATATGCACAACTTACTTAAACCAGTTATAATACATCTCTCCCATATCATACTGGAATCCACTATCAAGGATTTCCTGGGCAATGAAGGTGGCTTCACAGAACTGAGGAGGCCTTTTACCAATCTCTGAAAAGCTCATCAGCAAGTAGTCACCTAACAAAAAACAATAAATATATTTAAAAAGAAAGCTAAAAAGAAATCTTTAGGAGACGGTTTATTATGAACAAAACCAATAAGAAACAACTTCCCCAGTCCTTAATATATAGGGTACAATATTAGTTTGGAGAATTTGGTATCAGATCAATTGATATTTTTCCTTATTCTCATCACTTGTCTGCATTATAGTGTATAGATATAGAAAGGAGAAAGTCTGTCTTGGTCACTCACAGGAGTTAAAGGGTTAATTACCTCTTTTTAGTTTGCTATAAAGACTTCACTTATGAAAATTGCCACAGATAGTGCTAATTTAACCCTTACACTCCCAAGATCTGATTAGTAATTCTCCTTACTATCTGCCATACAATTCTTGTGGTGTTAGTTCAGAGAATTTGGTATTGGATCAACTAATAATCCCATGATTGATATTCTTCTCTATTCTCATCACCTGCCTGCTTGATATTGTATTGATATTGTAAGGAGAAATTCTGTCTTGGTCACTTGTGGGAGTGAAAGGGTTAAGCAAGTTTGTGGCATGTTCACCAGATGCTCTCAGAGATAAATCACACCCCGGATTTGTTGTGGAAATTTTCAGAAAAAAGTTCAGCTTATACACTGTTTCCTGCTCTGGATTAATCAATAAATTCCTTGAAATTCTATCCACTTACCATGTGTTCGTAGAAACAACTGCCTTGCTTTCTCTCCACATGCCACAATTTTTGTACTGTCATCAACCTGCTTTTCTCCCAAAGCAGCCTTAACAGCCTTCACCAAGCTAGAATGGATCCCACCACATAATCCACGATCAGATGACATCACAACTATGAGGTTTTTGGGTGTTGTCTTGTCCGCATCACTTGGTTTGATTTCAACTTTATCATACAAAGCTGAGGAAAAACATGTAAGCCGCGATCAGATCAACAAAAGCATTTGTTAACATGTTCATGTACAAAAATTCACACTGTTTCTCTATCCTCTGTTCTCATTCTCAAGAACAAGATTGTGAGTGGAAGTGAATTCAGTTAAATTTACATACCTGAAGCACCAGCTCCATAAATTCTTGCAGGACGTAATTCCCTCTCTGCTTTACCAAACTTGGCAGCTGATACCATCTTCATGGATTTTGTAATCTTCTGGATATTTTTCACACTCCTTAATCGCAAGGAGACTAAATTTAAAAGCATAATGTTTTTAAAGTAAGTGGTGGCACAATGCAGTTAACCCTTTAAGTCCTTTAAGTGATCCACAGGTAATGTCTTCCAAAAATATCCACCCACTGACTAGTAAACAAGTAATGAGAATACTTAAACTAATCAGGCAGTTGTTGTTATTTTGATCTGACAACAAATTCTTGTTACTATTATCCACGGAAATGTGTAACAGCTAGAAGGGAGTATTGACAATCAGATCTTGAGAATTAAATGGTCATTTACAGTATTATTTGATAAGATTTCAAAGTGCAACAAGCAACTGAGACCTTAAAAATGAACAAAAATAACACATGGAAAGAACTAAGAAAACTAGACATGTCATAATTTCTAAAAAAACTGTGGCATGGCACTCAAACACCTTAACTTCTGATATTTATACATTGATGTTTGACAAATTTCACATCTCTCCGGACAAGGAGGCGTAATATTTGTACGGTGCAACACAAATTGCTTGTTTGTGATTACTCTCTTAGAAACATCATCTGTGAAAGAGATTTCATAACGGGAAAAATTTTTTTTTCTTCTTGAGAACTTAAGGCTCCTTATCCCTTTATTGCCGTAACAATCAACTTCAGCAAGAACACAGTTATTCTCGACATCGAATCGCTCGATCAACACAAACTTTGTGAATTAGTTTGATATTTTAACTTACTATCTTTCAATGTTGCCATGTTCCTTACGGCTGGACTGCAAAAAAAGAACAGAAAAATACAGAACTCAGAAAAATCTGGAAACTGCCATATTTGTTACCCGTAAAAATTTAGTTTCTCACCATGATGCTGGCCTAAAAACAGCTCCTCGAATGAAGACCGTGTTAGCCGCCATCTTGGATGTCTGTGCGTCCCTCACTCGGTCACGTGGGTTTATTGGACCGCTGACTAACCAATCGCTTTACAACACAGAATATCATTGGTCAAAAACTCGAATTTGATAACTTGACCAATTAGAACTTATTTAAGAAAAACAAAGTTTGTTATCGCAGGCTCAATTCAATTGAACACGTTTTGTATTTTCGAAAATCACACGAAATAGAGGTGAAAATGTCGGGTCGGGAAGGTAATTTTTAGATTAAGTTCCGACTTCTTTTGCTGGTATGTTGTTAATTGATTCTATTATGAAACCCACTGATCTACCATTTTTCGCAGGAGGAAAGAAAAAACCACTCAAACAGCCCAAGAAAGAAAAGAAGGAACTGGATGAGGTACAATTTTGCATGTTAGGAATCGAACGACAAATTCGTTCAAATACTTAGGCGTGCAGCTGTTATAATTCAATTTTATCCCTGATTTGAGTTGCATCTGTCTTTACTTTTTTGTTACTTATCAAAAGATACGCTGCCTTTCCATGGTAAAGATAAATGTTAGACAGCTCTAGGGCTACACACGATCATTCTTTGACTCGCGCTTTTCTAAGTTAAAGAGGTATTAAATGAAAGGCTGTTAGAGGGCAGATTGATTTCTTCATATTCTATGGTGCGCAAGCAAAAATTTGTTTTTTAAGACTATACATTTTTTCAGAAATACAATAGACTTCGTTTTCCTCTCGATCAAAGCTTCTAGTATGTTTCATGTAGAAGGGCTGTGGGGGAGGGGGTAGTGGGATGAAACTCATTGGGGGAAGGGGTTGTATGAAGGTCTGTTGTAGAGCCTAAGGAGGTATACTGTTAAGAGGTAGTTGTGGTGTGGAATAGATTTTCAGATTAGCCCCTTAACTCCCATCAGTGACCAAGAAATAATTTCTCCTTACAATTTCAATACAACATCAAACAGACAAGTTAGGAGAAACATATCAACAAGGGATGATCAGTTGATCCAATACAAAGTTTCCAGAACTAACTTCATAAGAATTGTATGGCAGACAGTGAGGAGAATTACTAATAAGATCTTGGGAATTTGAATCATTTTAATAGATTATTAAACCTATCCCAGAGAAGCAAGTAATAGAATTTGAACTTGGTGGGGACACCTTAGGTTTCTGATCATGCTGTATGCAAGGGTAATAGTGTATTTGAAAAATAACGCACTTCTGATTGGCTGAAAACAAGTGCATTCTCAAGTTATAGGAGTACAAAGTTGTAACATGAGGGCAAATTACAAAAAGTGCATGCATGCTTTCAAAATTTTTTCTGTTTCAACTTTCTGAAATTTTTTTTCATGTACATGATTAACAAGTAATAAAATGATTTCTCTTGCAGTTTGGTGTAATAAGCACTTGTAAATTTTTCAACAACTACAAATTTCACTTGCCCTATGGGCTTCTACAAAAAAATTCATAAGAGCTTATTTGCACAAAATTGTACTAAAAATCATGTTGTTACCTATAGTAATTTTTTTAGCAATTTTTTAGGATGAGATGGCACATCAGCAGAAGATGAAGGCTGATAAAAAGGCACTGGAACAAGCAAAGGCTAAAGCAGCTCAGAAAGGACCAATGGGTATGAACAATGCTTAACTCTTGAAACTATAAGAGTGACTAGTGTCTAGTTTCTTCTTACAACAATTCTGCTAAACCAACATGATTGAGAATATAAGAAAATGTTCGCAACCTAAGAAGCTTTGATTGTGAGACAAATTCTCCCAGTCAGTACCAAAGGGAATGTATAGAGAGGAGTATGGAGACAGTGGATACTGATGTTGGAGTGTCAAGGCCTGGGTTAATAAATCCTAAGAGTAATTATCATCTAATTTCTTCCTACAGTAATACTGCCACATATAAATCCTACAGTACAGTCGTGAGAATAAAAGAAAATTATTGCCAACCTAAGAAGCTTTGATTGTTAGATAAATTCTCCTTGTCAGTACCAAAGGGATGTATAGAGAGGAGTATGGAGAAAGTTGATACTGATATTAGGGTGTTATGGCTGGGGTTAATAAATCCTAAGAGTGACTATCATCTAACTTCTTGTAACAGTAATATAGCTGAATCATTCTTTAAGATCATGGAGATAACAGAAATGATGGCTTCCCTAAGAATCTTTCATTATGAAATGAATTCTAGCTAGTGAAATAAATCAAAATACAAATTTGTAACAAAATTTACTTAAGTTTGTTCTTGCAAAAAATCATCACTTTACATAATACCTTTCTGAAAAAGTTTTGCTTCACAGAGGAAAATGATAACCCTTTGCAATTAAATATTAGTATGCATTTTCTCCACACTGTTGTCAGACATTTCTGAAGGTTCTGTTCAGGAGATTTTGTTGAAAAATCAAGAGCCTCTTGAGTTGAAGATCATTTCCTATATTCCCATGACCTTAATGTTTGACACAGGAGAGATACTGTAAGGAGAAATTGGACTTTAGTCACTTTAAGGGCTTAAATAATTAATAGTTTATTGTGTTTGATACAATCTTTCTTATTTTTCCAGGTGGAAGTGGTATAAAAAAATCCGGAAAGAAATGACATTGGATTATTTATCCTGCACAAAGTCCAAAACAAGGATCTCCCAGTTTTGCAAAGGCCTTGTACAGAACTTGTATATCCTGTAATAGTTTAGGCAACGGCAATCATTTAGTTAGTAACCAAGTTATAGATAAACACGATTTTCATTTCTAAAATGTTTTTTCTTTAATCCCCTATGATAAATACAATTATTATTATCATATCTTTACTATTACTATTGTTATTATCTTTTTTATTCATATTATTATTTTGCTGTTTTAAATACTTGAGTGAAGAATTTTTTTTCCCTTTTCCCCACAACTTTTGACCTCAAAGATCAAATTATCAATTCTCTGTTCTTTCTGCTATACTTTTCTCATAATTTTAGCGGTGGAATTTTGGAGCCAAATCAAACAAAAATCCCTTAGTTTTTTTTTCTCTTTTACGGTTACTCTTCTGCTTTCAAGTATATTTATTTTGAATGGGGTAGTTCCTTTTTCCTCACTCCTGGAAGTGAAAGGGTTTAAAATTTATGATAAATTTCATTCTTTCTGTTACCTGTCAAACATATAAAAACCCTTAAGAGATAAGATAGAAAAAGAAAGAAAGAAAGAAAAGCATGCCTCAACTGAGACCTTGTATCCTTTGCATGAAAATATTTACAAAAAAATTGCATTGTGCTAATCATTGGCTAGTAGGCTGCTAAAATCTTACCCCTAAAAAGTTGCTTAACAAAAGATTTTAATTATATCGAAGTGTCTAAAACTCAATGCACGATACTCAAAAATGCCCAAAAATGTCAATGTTAGGAAATTTATGAACACTTACTTGCTTTAAAAAAAAATAACATTTTTCCTACTTAAGTGTGAAAAAAAACTTTAGGTATTACTTAGCGAAAAAGGCAAGACATGCAAAAACACCATTCAACTGTGGCAACCAGGCCGCCCTTGCCTGGCTAACACGTGTTGAAATCACTGCTTAAAGTAAAACATGACACCATTACGCATCTTGTCATCGTTTGATAAGGCATTGATATAACAGGCATTATGTTTTTTTTTTTTAAGTTACGGGAAAAAAATAGAATATCTGTCTACCGGGCTTCTTCAGGCATATCAATCGTCAAATGCATCTCCCTAATGTCTTAGTAGTCTCTGCAAGTGTTCTTTAGGCGTTGCGTGACATCTCCAAGAACAGTAGTGAAAAGAGTTACCATTTCGATCGAGGACTGCGAAGTTTCAAGGTTTTATTCGAGCCTCTTAAACGGTTCTTGCAACAGCAAGAATGGAGAGACGAAACGAGTGAAGCGATGGCTAAATGATAATACATAGTAGCGTCAATCCCTGCTTTGAACGAATGCGCGCGCATCACTTTCGTTAGAATCACTTCTTGTGCCACCCTGAGCCGACACCAAGCTGCTTGTTTTGTTTATGCACAGAGGACCCGAGTTGGTTATAGTGAAATCGAGCAACCGAAGATGACCTTCTTGATTCCATTTGCTGCAACGTTTGGCCTGGGTAGGTAAAATTCGCTGACCTATAAGCTTACTATAGCAAACTAAACAAAGTAATTCTAAATTGATCGCTAGGAGGTATAGGGCGAGTCACTTCAACCTTTGCTTGAGATCTCGTGAAATTGAATATGCATGGCCGTATTATGTACGATTCGAGGATTAAATTTCGACCGGTACAGAACTTTTCCCACTAAACCGATGAGAAATTCGTGTAAAACTGATTTTAGTGCGTATGTCTTCGTTAGTTCTTCGAAGCTGTGTAAACCTTTGGCACTCCCAGCCAATTTCAGAGAGCCCGAAAAACAAAACCACACCGACAAAATTAAGAGCGCTAGCGTTGTCTGTGATATTAGCTCTGTACTTTTCTTTCACTGTTTTTCAAGGAATGGTTCTCGTCGAATAAAGGAAGTTGTCTGTGATATTTCTTCTGTAGCTTCCTTCCTTTTTGTTTTTCAAAGAATGTTTCTCATCAAAGGAATTTTCATTACCTAAACGAACTTTCATGGATAAGAAAGAGTCAGAAAGAGATGATTTGCATAATTTCCATCACGTTGATTTAATTTTTACTCGAACGAACGAACGCCCATCGGAAAATAAGCTGAAATATCTCTTCTTTCAATTAAGATGATGATTTATCCGTGTTTCGTTAACATCTACAACTTTTTTTTTTCGTTTCCGTTGAAATTAAAACTCATTCATACGCATTCTGGCTTAAAATCAAGGTTGTGACTGAATGCCTGCCAGCTGTGCACGGTCTCAAATTAAATAGACGAAATGCCCCGAAATAAAAAATTTTCACGCAACTTCCACCGAAAGGTTCTTTCAAACTTCTTAAGAGTATCAGATGTTTGTTGAGAAATGTCAAGGGATTCAAAAAATTAGTTTGGTTTTTTAGTGAACAAATTCTCCGAGCTTGTAGACACTACAATATCGCGCGACAACCGAGCAATATTGTAGTGTGCACAAGCCTAGAGAGTTTGTCCACTAAAAAACCAATTTAACGTTTGGAATCGCTTGACATTCGTTAACAAACACTTCATATTCTCAAGAAGTTTGAAAGAACCTTCCAGCGGAAATTGCGTGAAAATTTTTGACTGCCGGGTATTTGGTCAATTTGAGACCTTGCCCAGCTGCTGGGCATTTCGTCACTGCGTAAAAGCAAACCTGTACATTTTGCTTTGATGTTTTAATTCAGTAATTACTAAAATCGCGAAATACATTGTGTTTAGAATGATGGAGTCATTACATTCTTACTCTCTTTGTTCACTCGAAATTTCTCCTCACGTGCAGGCATTGTCTGGGACATAAATTTGACATGCACGGATACGCATCCAAATTTGTAACCCGCAGCGTGACGATCTGCATCACGCAATATTTGGATAGAGGATTTAACAAAATTTGTAGCGTTATTATGTCCACTCGAGCACAGTTGATAAAAGCATTAGGATACATTAGATACTAAGAGCGATTTTTTGGGTTTCCCAGGATATAGTTTCTGTCCATTTAAATGTTATGTAATTTCATAATGTCGTAACGCTGCTTTTTTTGGATGTCAATAGTATTTGTTGTGGGAAATCAGGCAGCGCTTCCGGACGTCGGAAAATGCACATTTATGGAATACTATTGTAAAGCACGTGACTGTGAAACAGAATTCTTTATCGAGCGGCGAAAGGATCCTAAAGGAAACTGTAGGTAAGTTGTTACTGATTCTTGTCGGCAATAAGGATCACTCTTTTGTGCAACGAAAATAATCCGGAAAAGAAAGAACCTTTTTATTTAGCGATGTAAAAGGAACTATAAAATTGCTGTTTCTTCAGAAATGTACAGAGTTTTAAAACATATATGTTTCGGCTTCGACCTTTTTGCCATGAACGCGACCTCGGCTAGGCGGGCTACCCCACTTTGAGACGTTTATATGGCAAATTGTCACCCTGGCTGATAGGGACCCCACCTGGCAGACCAGGCAACCCGCCCAGCCGGGTCACCCCACCTATCATGTAAACGTGATCAAGATAAAATAAGAAATTATATGGACAGGCAGGTTACCTCACCTACCTGGGGTCCCCCACCTCTATGTAAACAGGCCCTAACTCACGGTTTATTCACTTTATTAGACGATTTTACACTCACAACTCTCGGCTTATTCGTAGGAAAAAAACACAAAACGTCCCGTTTTAAGCTCGTGGAACAGTGTCATGTATGGGGCGATAAAACACGTGCCGCATACATGTTTGTTTGGTTAGGTATGGATTCACGAAATCACCCATAAATGTCAATCAACTTAAGAATAATTAACGTATCATACAGTTTCCAACAAGAGCTGTCATGTTTCACGCTCATCAAAAAGTAGGAATGACGCATCACGAAAAAATTAGATAAACAACCTGAAGTTTCTTGTATCGCGAAAAGCATAAAAGTACCAGTTCACTGGGTTTTAATTTCGTATTTTCTCTGGTTATCAAAAATTAAAAAATAATCAATCCTGTATCGCGCAGTAACCCTCTTTCCTCTCTCTTTCATTTGATCGATCAATCAACTACATTATTCATTTATAATGATTGGATAAAAGGAAAAAATTAACAATTAACAGTAAATAATATACATTTTATACATTTTAGTGCTCATCACGATGAAATGCTCAATTGTGCCACAAACACTTTGAATTCTTGCTCTGATGCCAACTTGCCATCAAGTCTCCTGAAAGCACAAATTGAACAAAATTTCGGAGTAGATCTCTTGTGCACTAAAGGTGCTGTCGATACCCCAGCCAACATCTTTGGTAAATTGCTTCCGACTTTGCCATGCTCCGGATCTTTCAACAACGAATCAAGCGCCTGTGTGAAAAACTACCATGAAACATTTATTGCAAATGCATCGGATCCTGCTCTTTGCAAGTAAGTATCAGTTAGTGAGCCATTGTTCCCTCAGAGGGCGAGTCGGGGTGTATTCTCTTGTCAAAATAACAGGTATATCCCTGGGATAACTTCATAAACTCTCGTCACCCCCCTTAATCCCCACCTAACGTCATCTCCCCCCCCCCCAGCCTTTAGAGATAATGATTTCAACAAGGTCTCAATGGCGTTAATCGTTAGCCCTACGGCGGCAGAACATTTTTAGCTATTAGGTGTAAAAATTGAAAGTTAAATTTTAACTGTTAGTCGTAAAAAAATGTTAACCTTAAAAGTTTTCCTCTACCACAATGTCATTTTTGTCATTTTGGTTTAACCGTACCCATAAAATGGCCAAAGTTTTAATTTGTAATAATTTTCTCGAATCATGTTTTTCAAATACTTATTTCAGTCCTGGATTAAAAGGTTATTTTTACAAATGCTGTAAAAATTTCTTTCTTTTCAACATGCAAGATAAGCAATCTTAGGAGCCTTGCTAGAAATCTCTTAAGTTTGCAAAAACTCTAGCAGGGGCCATTTTAGGCTCAAACTACCTGAGCGGAAACAACTTTCTCCACACTGGCGTACAGAAAGAACATCTAGGCCAAAAAAAAAAAAGAACTCGCAATCTACTTCACAGGAGTTGGGATTGAAGACTGGACCCTAGAGAAGGGCCTACATTTGGCCAAACTCACTTGAGCCCATTTAAGATTACCCATGTCGTTGAGGACATTTTTTTTCTGAGTTATTTTTATTTGCATAGGGGACAAGCTGATGCAAAGAAATGTCTGAAGAATCTGATGAAGTCTGACTGTAGCTTTCCTTCTCAGATCCAGGAAATCTTTGATCTGAGTCTTAGTGACCACAATCCTTTCTGCACCAACAAGCGGGATCCTGGGGCGACTGGCAATGAAATATGTGATGACGTGGTAGTAAATACTAGAGATTCATCCGCTGGTCGCATATGTAGCGCATTGAAGGCACTTGTGCTTTCTTTCTTGTTGGCGTTATTCTTGGCGAACATGTAAAACTGAGAGGCCAGTACCGAGATTACTTAATTGCGTTAGCTACAAAGATACTTTTCCAGATAATTTTCCTTACGAAATTCTATCAATTTCTTTGCCGAGCTCAAAACTGACCATCTCTCTTATTTCTACCTACAAACATTACGCTATCGACATTGCTGATCCTAGCAGTATGCAGGACGCGTTTCATATGAACTTCTTAAAAGACCTCGCTCACCGTGGAGTCTCAGTGGCTCAGTGGTGGAGCATCAAAGCGCGGAATCCGAAGGTCTGAGGTTTGATTCCTCATGGAAACTCAGAATTTTTTCTTTGTCCCACGCTCGTGACAAAACGAAAACATCTTTCTGTAGTGTATTTTTATGTTTGGAGCTTATCGTATTGGGTTGCAATTACAACATTTAGATAGCATTGTAGTTTCTCGTTATTTAAAAAACTATAGTGCAGGCTTTGGTTCTCGTCAACTCTTCACCTGGTTTTCTTTATGTTCCGATAATTTCCTTGTTTTGTTCTGTGATTGGTTTCAAGCTAAAACTCGTCTCGCAAAGCATCATTTTACCAACCAGAAAGCGCAACCAAAACCAACCAACTTTGTTTCCAGGGTCCTCTCTCTTCCTCTTCCCTCGGGGGGGAGGAATGAAGAGGACCCTGGGAGCGAAGTTTATTTTTCCCTCGGAAGAGGAAAAGAGAGTTAGATATTTCATGTAAATTCAAAGGAAGTGTACCTCATTTTGTTTAATCAGGTAAAGAGTTTTGTTCTTTTGTGTCACTAAACACTGGCCTCTTTGCGTCAGTATAAATGAATATCGGATACTCCAAGCTTCCCGTTTGCAAACTGAACAATACAATGACTATGTGATCAGTATTTTTTCCTTTAAATTTGTTTTTAAGTCATAAGAAGTAAGAGAGAGGCAAAGAGAAAGGAAAAGTTTTTTATTAAGGTAATACTTCCTCTTTTTAGATCGATATTGTGAGTAATGACATGGAATATTAATAATAACAGATTAAGAATATAATAAAGTTTGGAAGAAGCACATCCTTGTTATTGAGAAGGAATAATTATGAAAAATGGGGGACTGATGTTTCATTCCATGTTGTAACAACAAACACAAAGTCGATACTTGGAGAAAAATTTCCAAACATTTGCTTCAACCGACATCAGAAATAGAAAAAAGGCAGACAAGAAGAAGGTAGCTGAAGAACCCCTCCATCCATCGGAGCTTTGTTTGCCAACTTTCTCAACTTAAATGATCGGAGAGAAAATCCAGAGTTTCGATCCGCGCGCATTTAAAAGCGTCTTTCAGATGTAAAACTCAAGGATAATTTCTCGACTTCTTCACCATCTTCAAAACATTGTTCCGTACATTGTATTTATCATGAATTTCTTAAGGCGAATCTTAAGTTTTTTATTGTTTTCTTAGGCCAAAATTAAAAGACGATTCGTTCCTCATTTCAGATTATTTTCCAACCTTGCTGCAAAGAGACTTCCGAGTCTGTTTCAGTCGAATGTCACCAAACGTGCGGGGATTCATCTCATATTTAGTGACTTTCCCTTGCAGAGACTGCAGCATAGTGACATTCATTTACCGGCATTGACACTAAATTTAGAAATGGCTGCACAAGACCGATTTTTGTTTCCAAAATTCTGAAAGTATTTTCACGTTGGCACTTACAAAAAAAATATTTAGCTTACACTGAATTTTGTTAGGGATGTATTTCTTTCCTACGAGAAGTTTTGATGCTTAATTTACGCAAATTCATATTTTTTTCAAGTATTTTCATCCAGAGTGTTGAACGCGCCTATATTAAGTAATTCACTCAAAAACTGAGGTACTGTAGTCTAAAATAATATTTAGTTTGCATTAGGCAAGAGTGAGTCCGTTGGGTGTGATTCTCTTTTCTTTGTGATTGGTCAAGAAAATTCACGCCACCCATAGAAAATGATTATCATTTCTCTGTAAATAAATATCCTTTTCGTTCTTTTAACGTGTCACATTCATCCGTAAAGCTATCTTTACTCTCTCCGCCATTTCAGGATGATTATTATTATTCACTTCGCGAACATAAGATCGAAGTAACCTTTTCCGTTTTATGAGAGTCTATAAATAACTTACAAGGGAAACTGACATATCCTAGGGGCTGGACTAGGAACCTCTCTGTCCCATTAGTTGGTTTAAGAAACGACGTCAGCGACGCCGTGGACAACGTCGGCTAACAAATGAACACCCACGAATCGCGCGACGCTCTAGAGTCATTTAGTTTGTTTCTTACTGTTACAAGTATCTCGAAACTGAATATGGAACACAGATTTGAATTAGAAATGGAAACTTTTAAAAAATTAGCCGTTGTTGTTCACGTTCTCCAGACAACTCAAAGTTTGGTCATTTCACGTTGTTGTTTTGCAGAGGGACAAAAAAATTTACAGTGAATTATAACACACGTGTACAATTGTTCCGCTCACCAAATCGTTTGTTAAGTGACGTTCCCGTTTCCTATTATTAACTCTCACCTTACCTTATCAACCAATCAGATGCAAAAGTAAAGCTAATAGCCATTTATCACCCGCAAATCAATTTTTTCTTCGTAAACGGAAGAGTTGTTTACTTAAGTAATTATCATACACGGAAAAATCGCATCAATATCAGTATCCGACGCACTTACCCCTCCCCAAATTGAACTTGACATTAACGCTAACTTGATATCAGTTGACTGTTGTCGGATGTGTAATCTGCAGTGCAGGCGTCTTATTAGGGCGAGTTAACGTTAAGAAACACGCGATCGTTTATTCAACCGGCCATGTTTGATTTGGAGATAGAGGCAGCGGCGAGGGGAGGGGAAGGGGAAAGGTGAAATATGTAATATTTACCTCCCCCACCCCCACCCCTTCCTTATTCTTGACGGTCACCCACCCCCTTGGTAAAAATTTCTTTCTCTCCCCAGCCTTCCGATGCAATTAAAATGAAAGATGGCAGCCATAATTTCGCTAAGAAAATACTGAACACTCGCTCACCAAAATTGTGCCTGCGTCTGCAGGCCATTGGGTTTGCGGAGTTGCTTAGATACTGACGTTGATAGTAAAAATTCTCGAGTCATGGCGTATTACCATAACTTATGAAGCAGACAAAAGATCGAAGCTGTTACCCAGACATTATTCCATCCTTTTAAAACAGGTTATTTCAAGTTATTCTACTTTTTATTCCCTTTCTTGTGCATTTTTTTCTGCTCTTTTGTCACCATAGTTAATGTCATAAATTCATTCATTCGCGCGCTTCCTATCATTTGTCAAAGGCCACAGCCTGGTCGCCTAACAGCTTATTGCTTTAAAATTTCCAATCAGAGGTCATTTTTAGTACTTTGTTGTTGCTGTCATTATTGTCATTTTGATTTCCTCAACTGAGGGGCGCTCTGTTTTTTTTAAACTATGAACTACAAGATCCTGTGTTTCTTGGTTCCAGTCACGGTGTTTTTTAACCTCAGCGACGCGGAAACCAGCATGTCTGATTTCGCAAACTGTACACTTACGGAGTACCTTTGTGACGCGCGCAAGTGCACCACACAATTCATCAAAAGCGTTCAAAATGACCCCGAAGGAGACTGTGGGTAAGTATGTTTGATTTAACACCAGTTAGAAACGTTTCTTAAGCCGAGGTCTTTTGTTTTAAAAAGTCTCTCTTCAGATATAGATTGAGAGCTATCTTTAAACGCCCTAAATCAGTTCTTGAAAATTGAATTTAAAAAAAACTGGCCTAATGCGAAGGTTCAATAAATTGGTATGCACAAAAGCTGAAGTGACTGTTCCTAATCAGTTTATGCAAATGAATATTCCCTTAGAAAAATATTTTAATGGTATGCCTTTTGACAATGGGTAATTTTCATACGTCACCTTGGAAAATACCATAATACTCTTTTATATCCAGATTTGGGTGATTCTTCCAACTTCCTTCGTACCACGAGCAGACGTGCTAAGTGCTGAAAGTTCTCGACACTGTTCTTGCTTTCTACTTTTATAAACAGAACCAGCGATGGAGTGGCGTTAGCTAAAATGTAGTTAAGTCTACTCGCCTGTTAAAACTTTTGGAAAATGAGGAGATGAATGTTGATATACGCTGCTCAGAAATTTGTAAATATCTCTTGATAAAGTAACTCTTCGTTTAAGTCTTGTTTCAATTGTATTATATATCTTGATAACTTTGCAATTGATTATTTAATTATTCAACGGACTTAATTTTATTTTATTTTATTTAACAATTGTATTTTTATTAATGATTATCTTTGTTTAATTGTATCGGTATGTGATCCTTAGCAGAGACAGCACTTGTTTTAGAAGGGTGGCCCGCCTAGAATAGCTTGCTAATTGCGGGTCACCTAGGACTGTGATAATATTGTATTGCTAACAAATAAAATTGAATTGAAAAATTGAATTGAATTGAAATTGTCTCTGTAAGGTTTTAGATGCAGAGGTCTGTTTCTCAAGGGCACATAGAGATACGTCAGAGGATTTTGGTTGTCACGATAACATTTTACCTGACTCCCCCATAAGTGTCATAAATATTTTTGTGATTCACCCCTTCCCTCACTGACAGTTAATTGCAGTCAATTATTCTAGGTCCCCATAATACTCTATACTCTGTCGGCGATAACTGATCGATGATCTCCCTCCGTCCCCCCCCTAAAAACCATGTGCCACCCCACCCCCCAAAAAAAACCTTCACCCACCCTCCTCCTCCTCAGGCGATAAGTAAGTAATTACTTAATGTTGGTTAACCTCTGCGCATGCTCAACTGACTGTTGTTTCCTTCATACTGTACGTAGAGTCCAGTACAACAAAACCTTGGACTGTGTCATCATGTCAAACAAGCTATGCGGCAGGGTTTTTCCGAGTGACTCATTCAACAGGACGATTGATGATAGTTTACGTGAAGGCATCAAAGAGGAATATATATGTAACGAAGCATTTTTGGGTGAATTTCTCGTTCCCATGGAGCTGCGTAGTGACCCATTTTGTTCAGATGTGTTCTTTAACAACACACAAGCATGTTTGAAAACTTTTCATGAAAAATTTATGGCTGACAGATCGGACACCACTCTGTGCGAGTAAGTAGTAATTTTGTAACGAGTAATTGAGTCTCGGTCACTAAAGGGACCTGTCACTTTCACTGCCTTGGAAGTCAAATTTTTTTCTTCATCGCCTTAGCAGTCTATTTTCTAAAAGTCTCTTCCCCTTTATACTCTGTCAGCCACAACTCATTCTCCTCCGATCTACCTGAAAAACATGTGATGTCCCATAAATCCATCACCCCCACATCCTCCCCCCACGATGAATAATGACCGGTCCCTGAAGAGCGTTCATTGGCTGTTTATCAAAGAAAAAGCGCACCCAGAAAGTTTCACAACGGTCGAATACGGACCAATGTTTTTTGCCTAATTTTGTGGTTAGACATTTTCAATAAGGGAAAGGGGACTGATCAAAGCTTCTTGAAAATTTAGGGTCAACTCTAAATCAAAGAGGCGAGTGCTCCTATCTCTATGCCAGTTTCAGCATGGTTTTTAGTTAGGTAGGGACAGGTGGGGGACGGAGGATTTTTGGAGATTTTGTTTATGTTACGATAAAATCTACCTTATCACACCCCCTCCCCCTTCCCACTAGGCTCTGCAGTATCTCTATGATCCTCCTCACTCCCCCGAGATTAACAAACAATTGGCAGTCAATTCTTTACAGTCCCCTCTCTATACTCTGTTGGTGACGACTGATTCCACCCTCCGTTCCCCCTGATAATCATGTGATTACCCCCTAAAGTCCTCCGGCACCCTTCCCACCTCCTCGAACCCTCCCCACCCCCTCCCTCCCCCCCGCGATAAATAACGAGAGGTTCCTTATATGTTTACTTTTCCTAATTTCAACAGGGAACATGCTGAAGCAAAAAAATGTTGGATGGAGGCCATTGAGTCCGACTGCAAATTTCCTTCTGATTTCTTTGAGGCGATAAAATTTGATTTGGTCGACTACAATCCTTTCTGCGCCAACAATCGGGATCCTGGGGCGACCGGAAATGATCAGTGCTATGGCGTGAGGGACATAAAAAATCCCTTCAATAGAAAGGACGACGTCAGTGCAACCGCTGGTATAAAGATTAATGCATCGCTGGCTCTGCTTCTTCCTCTTGGGTCATTTTTGTTCGTACTTAAGGTTTAAGAATCAAAAAAACTCTCGTGGGGGATTTCCAGATTTTTATATCTCATCCGTAGCCACAAGACACAGCGGTCGAACAGCGAAACACTCTCGGGTGATCTCGATCTCAAGTTTCTTACGACTACGATGATATTTTTCTGATTCCCCTCCCCCCCTTCCCTCCCCCCCCCAGAAGACTCTGTAGTTACCGTAATGATCCACTCCCATTGGCAGTTATGATTTTCATTATTCCCACCCCCTCTCTTATTGTGGTTTTGTGCGAACACCAATTTTAAAAATCTTTGTATTAATTTCCCTTAATATATACAACAGAATATGAACTGTTAAAGTTGACATTAAGTAAAACAGCACGTTCCTTAGTTAACTGTACGACTACTGAGCTTGTTCAAATATAATTTGAGAGGAGTGGGGAGAGGAGCGGGGAGAACAAGCGAAACAGAACCAAAAAAAATGCTCAACCTTGCACAGACATGCGCTTATTCGAGCGTGGGCGCTTACCCGAGGAATTTGCGATTTGAGTCAGCGGTCAATCAACCCAATCGCTTCACGGTAAACTAGTTCGTTTTCGGTTACCTAGACATATACAGAAGGAATTCTAATACCTCCTCAACTCCCTGTGCGACTCTAGATCGAAAGGCGCTCAGCGTGTCCAGAATGAGCTACAAGGCGTTGTTTTTCTTGGTTTCAGTTTTCTTCAACACTAGCTATGCTGAGATCAGCTTGGCTAACTTCACCGACTGTACTCTTACGGAGTACCTCTGCGATACGCGAAAGTGCATGACACAATTCGTCAAAAACGTTCAAAATGACCCCAAAGGAGACTGTGGGTAAGTTTGTTACGTCTAAGATATTTTCTGGGTTTTGGTCATTGCTGAGGTGTAAAATCTTGATAATGCGGTTTCAAGTCGTCCAGACTTTAACTGGAGCGTGGAGGTGCATACTTGAAAGGACGAAGAAGAATTTCAGCCCAACAATTTCCTGATGGCACTGAACTTCTGCGATCGCTTTCTTGTAAAAGACTCGTACATTTATGCCCCGACTTTTTGCTTGAGTTTTTAGAATGTTATTGGCCATTATTATAGATAAAGTTGTCCTGTCTGGGAAGCTCTACGTTTTCGATTTGCCTCAAACACGCACGAGAGGTAGCTTCTATTTTTATTTCTTGCATCAGACAGGCAGAATACAACTTTCAGTTTATGTTTTCGTCGAGAGAAGAAAAGCTGAAATTTGTTGAAAATCACCGGAAACGATCAGAGCATAATTGTGTAGATGTTGGTTATCATTTTGTGATTAATTCGCATCCAACGAAGCATTGCGTGACTACAAGAAACTTGTGGTTGGCGGCTTTTAGCAGACAAAGAAAGCAGAATCTTGAAATATTCCTCCCTCAGGGAAAGAAAAGGAATTAAAAACTAGGGCTGGGGGAGTGAAGATCTTTTCGTCCTCCCCCCGCCTCCTACCCCCACCGGCCATTTTAACTCCAAATCAATGAACTCCAAATGGCTAAAGCTCGGGCAATCCTAGGCCTGAGACGAGTGTTTCCATCTTTTCTACTGCAGAGTTCAGTACAACGAAACCCTAGCTTGCATTATTATGTCGAACAAGATTTGTGGCAGAGAGCATCCAAGCGACTTATTCAACATGACGTTGGATGATTCGTTACGTGCAGGCATCAGCGAGGACCACATGTGTAACGAGGCCTTTTTGGGTGAATTTCTCGTTCCCATGGATCGACGCAGACTGGACTGGCACTGCTCAAGTGTGTTTGTGAATAACACAGAAACGTGTTTAAAAACTTTCCATGATAAGTTTATGGCTGACAGATCGGACGCCACTCTTTGCGAGTAAGTTATAATTTTGCATCGAGTATTTCAATGTTAATATGTAATGTAATCGTTTCTCCTTCACAAAAGAGACAGATTGACATTTATCGCAAGGGGCAGGGGGGTAGGAAGATTTTTTTTTTGTGTCACAATAAGATTTACCTGATCTCCCTGCTGAGGTTCTGTAGTATTATATTGATCCTCCCTGATTGGTAGTCAAATTTTTAAGCCTCCCCTCCCCCCTCATACTTTGTCAGTGACGACTTATCCCCCTCCGTCTCCCCTGCCTTTTATTTTTATTTTCCTAATTTCAACAGGGAACATGCTGAAGCAAAAAAATGTTGGATGGAGGCCATTGAGTCCGACTGCAAATCTCCTTCTGATTTCTTTGATATGCTAAAATTTGAATTGGTCGACTACAATCCTTTCTGCGCCAACAATCGGGATCCTGGGGCGACCGGAAATGATCAGTGCCGTGGCGTGAGGGACATAAAAAATCCCTTCAATCGAAAAGACGTCAGTGCAGCCGCTGGTATAAAGATTAATGCATCGCTGGCTCTGCTTCTTCCCCTTGTGTCATTCTTGTTCGCTCCTAAGGTTTAATAGAATCAAAAAGATACTCTCGGGGCATTTCCAGATTTTTATAACTATATTGTCATGCATTAAGATTTAACTGTAACTTTCTTCTTTAAGCACTGGACATAGTGGTCGAACAGATATGTAAATTATAGTGATGTAGATTGGCACCATAATGAGTTTGTAAAATTGAAGTTTCAATTTTTTTAATTTCTATTTTTTATTTCTAAGGCTGACGTTTCAAGCGTAAGCCCTTCGTCTTTTCATTCCAATGAATGGCTAACGCTCGAAACCTCAGCTCTACGAAGTCTTTAGAACGCTTATTGGATGGAGGGCGCTTAATAGAGAGGGTGCTTATTCATCGTCGACTTTTCAAAAATATCCTGATAACTTAATTAATTATCATAGAAATTGCTAAAATTACTACTCCTCGAAGACTAGAGAATGCTCTAGATGTTCCTGGGATGTTTATGGTATTTACCACGAGCACGGCAATAGCACAAAAATTAAAATGAACAGCAAGAACATGAGGTGACTTAATAGAAAAGAAACTATTAACCCGTATTTCCGCTGTAGTTGAAGCTCAAAAAGTTATAAATAAAGAGGCAACAGAAACAAGTTTTCCTTTTAATGACTATTATTTAAGAAAGTGAGGGACGAGGGAGGGGGGGGGGGGTGGGGCACTTTTTCGAGAGAGATGCTTCTAAGGCCTGTTTAGGTGTGGGACCCCAAGTAGGTGAGGTAACCCGCCTAGCTGTGGTCGAAAAATAAAACGCGTTTACTTACAATCTTACAGCCCCGGGGTGGTGGGGTGAGGTTTCTTGGGGTTGTTGTTGCGCTTGCAATTAAGGAGTTTGAGCAGAGGCGTCCCAAGCTCACATCTCGAGAAAGACGAAAGATTAATCCTCAGACACGTATGTATTTATTCATGAAAGCGTCACGCGTTGTGTTACGCGGTGTTTGGTTACGCGAGGAACCGTTGACTTAATACGTTATACGGAATAGTTTGGGAAGCGAAATATGGTTGATTTACAACGCCAAATATTCCGAAATGTGAAAATTTCACACTCCTTGTGTGTCCGTTGGGGTTTCTGGTGATTTCTGCCGTGAGACGGCTAGGAAATGCGCAAAGTTTTAAAACATACATGCTTTGCCTTTGAGCTTTTTGCCATGAACCCTACCCCGGCTAGGCGGGTTACTCCACCTTGAGACATTTACATGGCAAATTGTAACCCCGGCTGACAGGGCTGCCCTACCTGGCAGACCGGGCGACCCGCCTAAGTGGGTCTCCAACCTATCATGTAAACGTGATCAAGATAAAATAAGAAATTATATGGACAGGCGGGTTACCTCACCTACCTGGGGTCCCTCACCTCCATATAAACAGGCCCTGAAGGATTGGGCGCTCATTCGGAGGTGGGCGCTTATTCGAGGAATTTGCAATTTGAGTTAGCGGTCAATCAACCCAATGATTCACGCTGCAATAGTTTGCAAGTTTACATTCAGTTACCTCGACATATAAAGAGGGAATTCTAGTAACTCCTCAGTTCCCTGTGCGACTCTCAATCGAAAGGCGCTCAGCGTGTCCAGAATGAGCTACAAGACGCTGTTTTTCTTTGTTTCAGTTTTCTTCACCACTGGCTATGCTACCCGCTGGCCTAGGTTCACCGACTGTACGCTTACGGAGTACCTCTGCGATACGCGTAAGTGCATGACACAATTCATCAAAAACGTTCAAAATGACACCGAAGGAGATTGTGGGTAAGTTTGTTTGACTTCAGGTGAAACGCGAAAGCTTTCCCTGCTTCTTTTTCAAGAGGAACTAAAAAGTCTATGAAATTTACCGGGTGTTGGTTATTGTTCTGGTGTTAATTTTTTTACCGCGAGTTGATGATGGCACTTCAAGTCGTCCAGTCTTTAACTGGAGCACTACAGAGGTGCTAGCTTGAAAAGACGAAGGAGAATTTCAGCCCAATAATTTCCTGATGGCGTTAAAGTTCTGCAGTTGCTCTCTCGTAACAGACTTTTACTTTTATGCCCTGATCTTTTGCGTGAATTTTGAGAATGTTATTGGCCATTGATATTGATACAGTTGTCTTCCCTGGGAAGCTCTATGTTTTCGTTTTGCCTCAAACACGCGCGAGAGGTAGCTTTTCTCCTTACTTATTGCTCCAAACAGGCGGAAAACAACCTTCAGATTATGTTTTCGTCAAGAGAGAAAAAACTGAAATTTGATAAAAATCACCGGAAACGATGAGAGCATAATTGTGAAGATAACTATTGTTTTTGTGATTACCTCGCATCAAATAAGACAACGCGTGACCCCAAGAAACTTGTGGTTGGCGGCTTTTAGCAGCATTAGCTCTGCTTTTGGTCAATTAAGTCGGACTCAGTGACAAACAAATCAGAATCTTAAAATATTTCTCCTTCATGGAAGGAAAGGAAAAAAAATTGGCCGAATGTGATGGCTCAAGAAAATTCCACAATACGGAGAGAAAAAGCTGAAATTAACTAAAATCACCGGAAGCGATCAGAGCATAATTGTGTTGATATTGTCTAATTTTGTTATTATCTCGCATCAAACGAAGCATTGCTGACCCCAAGAAACTTGTGGCCGGCGGCTTTTTGCAGTATTAGCTCTGCTTCTTTTCAATGAAGGGTTCAGTGACGAAGAGAGCAGAATCTTCAAAAATTTCTCCCTCAGGGAAAGAAAAGGAAAAATAAAACTAGCTAAATGTGATGGCTCGAGAAAGTTCCACAACACCCTTTTGACATTGGGTAACTTTTGCCATAGATCACTCTGGAAAATATCATAATTCTCTTGCAGATTTGGATGATGCCTCACGTAAGCTAGCCTGCAGAGCAGACGTACTTTTGGCGAGCGAGTGCTTTGATTTTATGGCAGCGGAAGTGGGGAGAGAAATAAATCAATGTACCAAGGGGGCGGTCGACAGTCAAAAATAAGGAGAGGGGTGAGAGAGTGAAGATCTTTTCGCTCTCCCCCCACCTCCTACCCCCACCGTCCACTCTAACTCCAAATTAATGAACTCCAAATAGCTAAAGCTTGAGCAATCCTAGGCCTAAAACAAGTGTTTCCATCTTTTCTACTGCAGAGTTCAGTACAACGAAACCTTAGCTTGCGTTATTATGTCGAACAAGATTTGTGGTAGAGTGTATCCAAGCGACTTATTCAACATGACGTTGGATGATTGGTTACGTGCAGGCATCAGAGAGGACCAAATGTGTAAAGAGGCCTTTCTGGGTGAATTTCTCGTTCCTATGCATGCAAGCACTCTGAACGGGTACTGCTCAAGAGTGTTTGTCAACAACACAGAAGCGTGTTTGAAAACTTTCCATGATAAGTTTATGGCTAACAGATCGGACACCACTCTTTGCGAGTAAGTTATAATTTTGTATCGAGTATTTTGATGTTAATAAGAAATGTAATTGTCTCACCTTTACATGAGAGACAGATTAATATTTATCGCAGATGGTGGGGGGGGGGGGGATGGGGAAGAGGATTTTGGCTTTGCCACAATAAGATTTACGAGATCTCCCCCCTGATGCTCTGTAGTATTCTAATGATCCTCCCTAATCGGAAGTGAAATTTTTAAGTCTCTTACCCCCCCCCCCCTTCAATCCCCCCTGAAAGGCATGTGATCACCCAAAAATCCATCGAACCCCACCCCTCCCCTGATAAGTATCGATTGATCCCTCATTAAAGAAAAGGTGCGTCCTGATCATGATCATGATAGACTGACAACAGTCGAGAGTGGATCAATTTTTTTAGTCAAATTTTTCGCGTGTACAATTCCCCTGACGTGTTTCTTCTGAGGGAAAGAAAATTGTTGCTTGTTCTTGTTGTTGAGTGATTTAAATTCTGTGCAATTTTCAGCATTTTTTTAATTTTATGTTTTCTTTTCCTGATTTCAACAGGGAACATGCTGAAGCAAAAAGGTGTTGGATGGAAGCCATTATGTCCGACTGCAAATTTCCTCCTGATATCTTTGAGGTGATAAAATTTGATTTGGTGGACTACAATCCTTTCTGCGCTAACAATCGGGATCCTGGGGCGACCGGAAATGATGAGTGCCATGGCGTGAGGGATATAAAGGACGACGTCAGTGCAGCCGTTGGTATAAAGATTAATACATCGCTGGCTCTGCTTCTTCCTCTTGTATCATTTTTGTCCGTACTTTAGGTTTAAAAAAATCAAAGAAACACCTTTGGGTGATCTCCAGATTTTTATGAATATCTTGTCTTGCATCTAAGTTTACCCACAACTCTCATCCGTGGCCTTGATACCGTGATCCAGAGGCGTAAAATCTGTGCTTGTGCGAACGATATTTTAATAGTTATATATATATATATATATATTGTTTCGTTGATTGATATTTAATCCGTTTATTGACATTTGATTGTTTGATTAGCCGCGTGATTAACAGTCGATGGCGTAATAGCTAAGTAACTTGATCGTTCAGTTAGGACACGTTTTAAGTAATGCGAAATCAGAGACAAAGGTCATAAGCGTTTTGTACCTTACGGACTTTACGTTGAACGTCGCTAACCTGTAGAGTATTACTGTTCGATCTGCTGACCCGTTTTGCTGACCTGTTATTGAAATAAGTTTGATTGGATATCGCCACAGAAGTAAGTAATTTGTTTTGTAACCGATTGAATTGAGAATTGTTAGTTCCCGTGCAATTTCATGAATCGCTCGCATTAGATTAGGTTTCTCAACAATTTTGTATCTTTCTTTTAGATCGAATAAAACAATATAAAGATTATACGATTCCGTATCCAATCATTCGTCCGAGAACCATTTTCCCTTGGAACATATATATATATATATATAATTTTGGTGACGTGCTTTCGGGCTGTTAGAACCAAGTTGTCTTATATCAATTTTAAACAACCACATTAGCCAGTGAGTCACGGTGTTTTAAAACCGTAGTACTTTTTCGATGAAGCCAGTAAAAAAAAAAAAAAGTTAACTGGTAAATCAATAGGATACGTGAGATCATGGGGGTGTAAAGGGTTGAGCACTTCTTTCTTAGGAACGAGTTTTTTTTTCAAATGGAATCGATAGGATATGGAATGAACGTAGAAAGCGAACCTTGTCACCCATTCCTGTAAAAAATAAACGTCTTTTGCTTCGACTCGAAAATGAAAATTTAAATCGGAGAAAGATGATGCTGCAACGGTTGTTTTTTAAATTCTGTCCAGTGGGGAGGATGAGACACGAGGTCTCTTTTTGTCCTTCTTCGTTCAAGAATTTTTTTGTGAAGAAAAAAAAAATGATCTGTATTGATCGCTTGTCGTAATTACTTCGATCTCGTAGCTACAGACTCCAGGCGTTTGTTTCTATACCCAACCCATCACAGACAGAACAAAAAAGCGAGATATTCTTGCTAAAAGGGACGATGTATCACGACGTTTCAGTCATTGGCTGCTATCCAAAAGCACCCTAACAAAGACAAACACAGTAAAGCTACCAAAAAAAATCCGACTATGACAAGATCAAGAGGAAATGGACGAAGACCGGCTTGCCATTCTATAGGGAATGGCTACGTTCAAGGTCGGACCTCAGGTAAAATTCTGACGAACAATCCCTAACTAGCCAAGTGGACTTTGGATGGGCTCTTTGGAAAACACAAAAAACAGCCACCTTTTCTCAGAAAGCAAAGAATTATCTCCTAGACATGTGCTCGACAAGGGAGGAAACTAGTAATATTGAGTTTAAGAGACAACACCAGCCAGAAATGTTGTCTAAGACTGACTGGTTGATACAACAGCAAATCGCTCGATATTTCAGCCGGTTATCTGCCGTAACAAAAATTGGTTTATTGACGAGGTCCCCCTCAGTAAATATGAACGAGGACGAAGAGGCCAATGCCAATGCCAATGATCTAGCCTCAGAAGTCGAAAGTAACCGAACAAGGCAGAAGATAAGGAGGGACCTTGTAAAATTTAGACGAAGACTGCAGGAGAGGGTACAGCTGCTATTAAGCTAAAAAAAGAAAAAGACATTTGCATCTCACTTTTCTTTCATATTTATTGTCTTTGCTCACGAAAACAACTGACTATGTCCTGGGATTTCATCAAGGGAAATTTGCAGGAAGCCTACTGGTCAAATTACTGCTGGCTCATTCTTAATAAATTTTACAAGTCACGCAATTAAACGCCGGCAACACTTTACGATCGAAGGAGGCAAATAATCATAGAGATCTGCAGATTATTCTGAAATTGTTATCTAGCAGACAGCATGAACAACGCGCTGGAATAATTCCTACGGAGAGTCTTCGTGTCACGCAAAAGATGTTAGCTGAGCGGAGTTCTACATGGAAATGTTCGATGGCGGTAAGTGACAACAACAACACTATTTTAATTTTATTTTCGGAATAGAAGCACAGTTTTTAGTCTGGTAGAACTATTGATATTTGCTCTCAAGGGAGAGCGCAGAATTTCTTGTCTATAAAAGCCGAAGTTGTAGCACTCTGGAACTTGTAGTAATATCAAAGAACACGCAGCATGTGACTTTAAAATCTACTAAAATGAGCAATGATGATGATAAACAATCAAATTATAGACAAATGAATGTTTTGTGCCGTACAAAAGCCATATCTGCTGATTTTAGCAAATCTCTAAAGTAATAAACGACTGAAGAAAGAAACGCTACGATTTTCTCTTCGATTTTTCGCCTACATGCATCTCTCTAAACGTGAAATTTTCAATTTCTACAAAAAATCTCGAAACTTTTTCACATTTTTCACCTTTCTTGATCAATCAAGAGCTAAAAAATGTAGGTTTATCCAGTCAAGTGACCGCCTAGAGCAAGAATTGCGTGACAGGTGTAGTTAAAAGAGAAACTTGTCACAGTCGTAGATTTTAAAAGGAATCCAAGACAAAAATACGAGAGTGTCCAAAGATTTTTTTGATGATTTTCAGAGATGAAATAATGGGTTATAGAGTAATTAAGATTTGTGTTGTAGCTTTCTGGCAACGGGAGATATTTGACCTCAAAGTTGTCAAATATTTGGATGAATCGAAAAGTCTAAGAACACAGTCGTATATTTGCCTCTGTTGACTGACAAGCCGTGAATCAAATTGACTGATACTTGCGGCGAACATTAACTAAGGATGTAAACATATGTGTGCAAACCCTCAGAGTAATTGGTTGAATACCATCGCAGTGAGAGCTTCATACATTTTACCTATTTTGAAGCGATTTCCTTGGTGAAAACCAAGAAAAACGGGGAGGTGGGGGGTGGTCTATTTACCCCCGGAAAAAACCAAAACAGAAGCTAGTTTGTCTTTTTGAGTTTTGGGGTAGACCCTTTAAACTGGCAAAGTTTCATTGGAAACAGCGAGATGGTATGTAGCACGACTGCCCGGTTCTCTCGTGGACACGCTCTTAAAACTTTGTTCATTTCCCAGCATGGCAGAAATCACCATAACCGGAACGGACATACAAAGAGTGTAAAATGTTCACATTTCGGAATAGTTAGCGTTGTAAATCGTCGCGTTTTATTTTTCGACCACGTACAATTTTTCGAGTATACAATTCCCCTGACGTCTGAGGGAAAGAAAATTGTTGCTTGATCTTGTTGTTGAGTGATTTAAATTCTGTGCAATTTTCAGCATTTTTTAAATTTCATGTTTTCTTTTCCTGATTTCAACAGGGAACATGCTGAAGCAAAAAGGTGTTGGATGGAAACCATTTTGTCCGACTGCAAATTTCCTACTGATGTCTTTGAGGTGATAAAATTTGATCTGGTCGACTACAATCCTTTCTGCGCCAACAATCGGGATCCTGGGGCGACCGGAAATGATGAGTGCCATGGCGTGAGGGATCTAAAGGACGACGTCAGTGCAGCCGCTGTTATAAAGATTAATACATCGCTGGCTCTGCTTCTTCCTCTTGTGTCATTTTTGTTCGTACTTAAGGTTTAAGAGAATCAAAGAAACACTCTCGGGTGATCTCCAGATTTTTTATCTCTCATCCGTAGCCTTGATACCGTGATCCAGTCTGTGCTTGTGTAAACGATATTTTTATAGTTTTTTTTTAATTTTTTAAAATTTTTTTTTATAAAAACTCTCTTGGTGACGTACTTTCGGGCTATTAGAACCAAGTTGTCACATATCAATTCGAAGCAATCACATTAGCCAGTGAGTTTTAAAACCGTAATACTTTTTCGATGAAGCCAGTAAAAAAATAAAAGTTAATTGGTAAATCAACAGGATACGTGAGATCAAATAAGCTTTGACTTCGAAAAGTCTCGAGTTTTCATTATCCCTGCTGTTTTTCCTTTTACGGTGATCTATTGACGTTTAGATTCTTTCGTGCATATTCTACATGAAAGTGTTTTTTGATGTTTCTTTTGATACCGGCGAAAGGAGGTCTCCCTTGTGCATGCCCAATGTTTGGGACCGCCGTGTCCCAATATATGTGAAGTAACGACATTGAAAGGGATTCTTTTTCGTGAAATTTTAACATATTCATGTTTGTATGCACGTTTCATCTTCAAAACGAGAAAGCATTTAACTGCATATTCCACTTTATCAGACAAGGAGCAACTGGCATATGTCAACAACGAGGTTGTTTATGGCTTAAAGACTAAAGACTAAAGTCCAATTTATCCTTACAATATCACTGCTGTATCCCATATTAACTCATTCTAGTATAGAAAAAAAAGTGACAAGTGATGACAACCTTTTTTTTAAATTTTTTTTTGTTAACAGTGTTTACATTAGTGAGTAGTGCTCTATCTCATTTAAGCCATGAGGATAAAGGAAATGATAGACAAAGCTCTTGATTTTCAAGCAAATTCTCCTTGTCAATATAATGAGAAATGTGTGAATAATTGTATGGAGAATATTCATATTGATGTTAGGGTGTAAAGGGTTGAGTAATTCTTTCCTAGGAACGAGTTTTTTTTAAAATGGAATCAATATGATATGGAATGAATGTAGAAAAAGAACCTTGTCGCCCATTCCTGTAAAAAATAAACGTCTTTTGCTTCGACTCGAAAATGAAAATTTAAGTCAGAGAAAGATAATGCTGCAATGGTTGTTTTTTAAATTCTGTCCGGTGGGTGGGGTGGGACACGAGGTCTCTTTTTGTCCTTCTTCGTTCAAGAATTTTTCTGTGAAGAAAAAAAAAATTGATCTGTATTGATCGCTTGTCATAATTCCTTCGATCTCGTAGCTACAGACTCCAGGCGTTTATTTCCTAAGAGTGCACAGATCCGGAATTTTCGGCTCATCATTGTTTTCCGGACAGAGTTCGTAGTCGGTACGTGGGTTTGTTCGTCTTTATCGAAGATTGTGTTTCGTCTGGGCAAAGTCCGACTAATCTTATTTCAGTCGCAGTCGGGTATATTCAAAATAAAATGGGGATGAGTTCCTGTGTTTCTTTGAATGGAAATTCGGCGAGGGACAATCGTCTTTGTCGATCCGGGCCATAAACAGTTTGGTCTATACCATGACGTATACGGTCACAGTCCAATTTTTAAAAACTTAGGCTAGCCCCACATTTTAGTTCCGCATTTTTGTCTCGGTATCCATGGCCTTTGAGACCTAGTTCACCTGATAAAGCACAGAAAGAGCTTTGCGTCGACAGCAGTTTGAATGGCGTTGGTTGAAATGCGTTGGGAGAAGTCAAGCTGTGATTGCTTATTCGGAACGGTTGTGAACACACAAGCTATCAATATCGCGTTAATTTGAGGTAAACATGCTTTTTTTTTTTTGGAAAGAATAAAAACATTATGGTAAAGATCGATCTTTGTGTTTCACATTCATTAAAACAGAAGTAGAGTGCTCGTAGGGCACGCCGTCGGGTTTCTTCGGGCTGCAATAGTGATTATTTCTTGAGTTTGATCGATTAGTAGGACTGTATCGCGAATCGGCGTGCTTTGATCTCGCTGCTTACTCGTGGTCGTACTTAAAGTCGGGTTAGCCGTCGGGGTTTTTTCGGGTGCAATCGTAATAAGTCGTCGCACTGGAATTTTGGTACGAAGTCGGACTTATTCGGAATGTAATCGTTCGGAAGTGGTAGGTATGTCCTGATTTTACTGACGACTGATGCCAAAAGTGTCGGCTCATCTTTGAAGGAGACATCAATTCTTCTTTCCTCTTCGCTCGACGTTTATGGAGGAGCTCGTGGCAGTTCGGATGCGATCGTTCTTCGCCGTAGTTTTCCTTCTCGGTAAGAAAATGAGTCCTTTAATTAACTTGGCTCACTTCAGGTTAGCCGGAAAGATTTCGAGATTAATTCAGTGTTTGTAATGATTTTTTTTCTTTTTGGAAAAAATAAAAACACGGTAAAGCTCGATCTTTTTGTTTCACATTCATTAAAACAGAAGTTGAGTGCGCGTGGTTTATTTCGAGTACAAGGTCGATGTTTTTGTGACTTGTTGTCCGGCCTCAGCTGTCATGGCATTATTGCTTCTGCCAGCTATCGATTTTCACAGTATTCCTAAAGGTCCTTTTGTTTATCGTTTCAGCTTTTGAGAACAGTCTATCGACTTTATGATACAGGAATGCCGAGTAAGACGGTCTTATAGAAGCTAATTCAAGATGAGCTTTCGGTATTTAAATTCAAATTAATATTAACCCGGACTCTGAGGAAATTCCGGCATCTCAAATATGTCTGTTCGGCATGCAAACGTCTGAAGAAACGTCTGGGAAGACTCAGGAAAACAAAAATAAATGTTAGACCTTAATGATTTTTTTCTGTGGATAACCCGTCGCGAACAAGACTTCCCTTGGGTAAAAAAAAGCGAGAGGTCGCCCTACAAATCAAGCAAAAAGGTAACCGACAGCTAAGGCTTGTCGAAGCGTGTTCCCTGGAATTCTTGCAGAACTACTGTCCTTCCAATACAAGACATTTCCTTTAACATTTATTTTGAAGTTACAGATGAGATTGAAATAAATATGTTATTTCATGGGTCGCTACCTTCCACGAGGTTATCTTTCAGACGTCTCACCGGAAAAGGATAGAATTTGATAATTTTTTTGCGGACATCTCATCGTGCACAAGACTCTGCCCTTGTGTGAAAAAGCCGGAGGGCACCCTTAAAATCAAGCAAACAAACAACCGGTGGTTAAAGTTGGTTGAAGTGTTCCCTGAAATTCTTGCAGAACTACTTCTAATACGAGACATTTTCATTCATGAAGAAATTGCAGATGGAATTGAAGTAAATATGTAATTTCATCGGTCGATGCTCTCCGCGAGGTGTCTTTTAGACATGTCACCGGAAACGGATAGAATTTGATAACAAACCACTGCGAGCAAACGACATGATGACATACCTGTCAAAAAATTAGATTTGTAATACTGTAATACAGAAATAAATTAGTCAATGATGTCTTTTTTGAAATGTTTCATTCTGTTTTGCCGCTCCTTTCGCATTACGAAATGGCCGCCACGAGAAAGCTGGCAAGAAAAGTATCGTTCCAATCCTCTCTCGGCCACGCCAGTTTGTTTTGGTTTTGTCTAGACCAATCATATCACAGGAAACGGTAAGACAAAACTGCCGCAATCAATATGAATTCTTGAATTTTGTCCATGACTCTGCCTGCTTTGATTTTTCTGCTCACTGTTAGTCGTGCCTAAGAATCGGGCTGCAATCGTGATTATTTCTTGAGTTTGATCGATTAGTAGGACTGTATCGCGAATCGGCGTGCTTTGATCTCGCTGCTTACTCGTGGTCGTGCTTAAGGATCGGTTTAGCCGCCGGGGTTTTTTCGGGATGTAATCGTAATATGTCGTCGCACTGGAAGTCGGACTAATTCGGAATGTAATCATTCGGAAGTGGTAGGTATGTCCTGATTTTGCTGACGACTGATACCAGAAGTGTCGGCTCATCTTTGAAGGAGGCCTCAATTCTTCTTCCCTCTTCGCTCGACGTTTATGGAAGAGCTCGTGGCAATTCGGATGCGATCGATCTTCGCCGTAGTTTTCCTTCTCGGTAAGAAAATGAGTCCTTTAATTAACTTGGCTCACTTCAGGTTAGCCGGAAAGATTTCGAGATTAATTAAGTGTTTGTAATTCTTGACAGATGGTGGCAAACTGTTTTTAGTTTTGATGTCTATATTTTCAATTTCTCTGCATGACTACGCGAAACTGTAAACTCACGATGGAAGGTAGCCATTTCGCTACTGAAACAGTGGCTCTTTTAGAAAGCACTGTCTATAAGCAATCTTTGGTATTCCTTATTTATGCCAACTCATTTTAGGGACGAGTTATATCATCCTGTTGTTTGCTTATCTAAGCATAGAATATTGCGACTTCATACCATAAATTGTGAAAATACGAATATGAAATTTATCAAGTCTTGGCCAAAATTTGCTCATTGAAATGCATCCAAAACTACCTGCATGAATTATCCATAAATCTCCTTTTGGTATATACAGTTAAGGTTTTTCAGTCTCTAGGTTTCAGAGAATAGAAAGAATTTTGAAAGCTTGCTAACTATGAAGATAATTATATTAATCTGGAGACAAAATATATTAAATATAGGAGAAGCAGTCAAGATCTAGGTGGGAGTTAAAATGCTATTTTTGCTGTTATGAAAAAATACTTCTTTTGTCTTGTGGCGCGTAAGTTAAGAGCTTAAATCTAAATTTTGGCGGATGGAGATTTAGAGGATTGCTCTGCACCCAGCCTTTTTTAAGCAATCTCAAAACAAATTTCAAGTTTCTTTCGGGTAAATGAACTTGGCGCGAGTCCAATTTTTAATGAAAATAAGGTTATATTGTTTCAGAAGGAGTGATTTATATACAACTTCGCTTTGAGATGTAATTACGATTTTACTCTGATAAACTCTTCATATAGCTTTAAATGTCTAGTCTTCATTTTTTTCTTGCTTGTAAGTAGTTGCAAAATTAATTAGTACTTTCTTAAGACCTACTGTAAATTTAGAAGGGGAATCGACGGTGCGCTTTGAATCCTCAATGATTTGATAAATATCGAGTTTGGCTTTAAGGCTGGCGGAGGAAAATTCCATAGTGGCTAAGAAGCGAGAAAGTTCCAAGAGAAATCTTTTTCTGAGTGTAAGAGAAAGTGGTTTGTGGGTTTACACACGAGTATGGTGGTTTGAAATTCACACTGTTATAATTCATCAGCTGTCTACTGCGGTCTGGCACTAGTTCAACCAAAATATTAAACATTAAAACGGAAAAGAAGCAAAATATGCCAAATAAACAAGGAGCTTTCATTTAGTTAAATTTAAAATTGCAGTTCTCAATTTTCTTAGGAAAGGTTGTTTAGTTATCAGATCTACTGAGAAAATATCTATAAATGCACAATTTTGTACCATTGCAATATTCATTAGGATTAGCTTGTGATTTCTCGCAATTAATTAATAAAAATGTGATTGACGCAAGTTAGAAACTTATTGAGATCAAGGATTGTAATGCCGGGTTTCAATGTTTTTCCTTTTTTACCGAAGCCGACGTGCAGTGAAGATGTTTCGTCTATTTCTTGTAAATCTGATTTGTAATTTTACGACTTACAAATATTTTCTGAACTCTCTAAAGTCTAGCTACTTCAACTTGCCACATTTGACTCGAGAGCAAAGCTAAAAATAAAAATATTGCAGATGCCTTTCAGTCATATGACATGGAACAATTTCGTTTCCTTTAAACGAAGTCACGTCGAAAGAAGCCACTTCAAAAGTTCATTTCATACAGGGTTTGGGTCACCAAAAGGTTTCATCTTATAGTTCACTTATCAAAGGTTTTCGCTAAGTACTTGTAATAAGTATAAAACACAACGGGTGATATTGCTTTTAGCTCCCGCTAATTAATCG